GGGAAAGAGCTGCTGGTGTGTACACGAGTGCACACCCACACACCCCATGTGCATACGTAACTCTGGACCACACCCCCCGAAGTGCACTGGGGCTCTCCTTTGGGAAATGGAATTATGGCTCATTTCCTTTTCCCTTTGGGGAGTTTTTTGGGTGCTTTTCTAATTTTCTTCCTTAATCTTGAATTAATTTTCTTTAAAACATATATATATTGTGCACATATATATAGAGAGAGAGAGTTGTTGTTTTTTTTTAAATGAAAGAACTCACAGCAAATCGAGTGAGGATGTAGGCACCCGCTCCGGTTCCCATGCCAATGATGCTTTTCAGTCTGGAAGGAGGAATAAAACTTCACGTCCCAGGAGTGAGCGATGGGAAGCGCCCTTTGAAAACCTTCCCCGCCCCTTGCCCTGAGGAACCCCATCTCCCCAAGGGTGTGTCTTGGGCATCACTGAGGGTGGCTGGCGGGCTAGACAAAGTGGGACCACGCTGCCATACGTGCCCTGCAGGACCTGCAATGCACCATGCTTTATGTTTGGACAGAAGACCATGACCTTGGAAAGACTCACGCCTTTCCCTCACTCCTCGCCCGACCGCGGCCAGGCTCTGACAGCCCCGCTGTCATTTCCGGGAAGAGGCCTAGTTACCAAACAGCTTCGTCCCGCTCTTTGGCTTTATTTTGGATTCTAAAACGTGGAATGAAAATGAATTGGGCAAGAACATGGAGGTGTTATCATCGCACAAAAGCCTCCACTAAGAAGTTTCCTTGAGCCCTGAAGAAATAAAGGCCTGGAGGGAGACGTTGAGGGTTCAGGCAACCCTATTCCAGAATGTTCCATGGGAAAGAGAAAGCAATAAAAGAAGAGAGGCGAGGAAAGGATGGGTGGACTGGCTGTCATCGGGTGATGGATGCTGACTGAAGGAGAAAAGCCCGACTTGCAAGAGGCAGATGGGAGTAAAGAGATTGCATGAAAAACAGTGTCTGCAGAGTATAACAAGCTGATTTCTTCCCTGATCTTTAAGCATTAACCTAGATTTCAGTGTTGGGGCCAGATCAAGACCCCAGGAGAGGCAGAAGCTAGAGATCACCCTTCTCTGCAAGCTGGTGGGGGAGTGGATCCCTCACTCTTACCCAAACTGTTGAAGGACTCCGGGCAGCATTTCCGCCAGCTGGTCCATGGAGGGGTACATGTACCTTGGGAGAGGCCATGCAGAGGCAGTTAACAAAAGCCGGGACCTCGGCGGAAATGAACAGTGCAGACGAAAACACACTTGATAGGCGGGGACCGTGCAACAAACCGCCCTGTGCGCCCAGACTCCCCAGTCTAGTCCCCTCCTGTGGCCCCCATTCCGAGCACCCCACCGTGTACACAGCCTGCTCCTCTGAGCAAGGATGCTCTCCATCCCAATTCCCCCACCTTTTACTTTGTAAAGTGACCCTCTTTACAAACCACTTCCTATGTTCCAGGTCCCACAACAAGCATTTGATGAGCATTGTAAGCTCATTTAATCTTTACAACTAGTCTATGAGGTTGCTATGATTTCCCTCATATAAAGGTTGTAAATATCATTAAGGCTAAGAGATAAGTGACTTGGCTTCACAGACAAGCAGGGATTTGGAGCTCTCAGGATTTCAAGGCCCATGTACTCACTTACCTTTCCAAAGGAGGCCTCCCGGCAGCCCTCCCGTGAAGCCCTCCTGACCTTGGGGAAGCCCCTCCCTCTCATCTCCTCTCCCCAAGACATGCTTGAGAAGAAGCCTGGGAGACAAGGCAGAGAAGGCAAGCCACCCTGATTGGCTGGACACAGTGGCTTCGGGAAACGGATACCCAGGGCGATTTTAAGGCACAGGGATGCCTCGACTCACACATCTTCCGGGACCACTCCTCCTGTTAACAGAGGGCTGGGGGAGCTCCTCTCCGTTCAAAACTGGCCCATGACAGCAGGTACCGAGGAGGGTGACAGTGGTGAGGACTCACACTGGGTGACCAGGGAGCCTGCAGGCTGCCTGGGTCTGTACATTAAGGCGAGGGCTTCCCCTTTGCAGGAAACAACAGTTTCCCATCATCAACTCCTTAGCAGGGCCTGGAAAGGGTCTCTTGTTCCCACTGTGCCCACCTTTCCAATGGGGACAGCAGAGGCCAACCTCTGGCACCACACGAAGCCACCTCCCAGGCTGGATCCTTCTCGGCCAGCAGGTTCTCCTTCCAGATTAGCTACCATTTCTAGACTGGCTCTCCTCTTGGCCTTTGCACATGCTGTTCCCTCTGCCTCCCCAGAAGCAAGTGTACGCTCACCTCCCTTGAATTTCCAGAAGGAAGCCCTAGAGCCTTTGCCCGGCCAGATGCCTACAACCCTAGCCAGAGTTCCCACACATTTTCTTTCCCATCTTCCTGGAAGGAACTCAAAGGTTTGTCCTTTTCACCAAGCTCTCGGCTGTCATCAGGGAGTCTGGCCCGTTTTATGGAAAGTGAGTCCACACGGCACACTGTGTTAGGAGCCAGCTCCTCCGAATATCCCGTGATCCTGGAGGCAGGTCCTTGGGGGAGCCGTCAAGATGCCTCACAAGACCCACTCAGTCTAGGTGCTGGGGGGAGGGGGGTTTTCACCCACTAGAAGGCATTCCACAAGGCCGACTTCGGGGCTCAGGAATCAGAGCAGGCAGGAAGGAGTCCCTTCAACAGAGGAGCTGTTGGGCCTTTCTCATGCCAGGCTCCTGGCGAGGCAACGGGAACCCACATGAGCAGAGCAGACACGGTCCCGTGCAGGAGCCGGGGGGCAAGTCAGCAGAAACAAATACGCGTAACTCATGACAGTGGCGGCCACCAGGGAGGGGAAGGTGCTGAGAGCGGGAGGCTGTAAGAGCAAGATCTGTTCTGACCAAGTGGAGGGCTTCTTGGAAGAAGTGCCATTGAAGGGGATGTGGGTTGGGGGGAGCTTGAGGACTGAAGAGTGTAGGGAACGTTCTAGGCAGGGGGACCAGCATGTGCAAAAGGGAGAGAGCCAGGAAGGCCCCGGTTGGCGGGGCTACACATCGATGAAGCCGTTGTCTTTCTGAAATGGCCACGGCTCGGTTTAGAGCCAGCGGCCCCCAAACGGTGAGAGTTGGGGAGACACCTAACTCCATGGCTTCTTTCCTCACTGCTCTTGGGGGGTGGGTACACAGCCAGCGGGCAACAGGATTCTACTCACGAGGCCCCATGTGTAGAAAGCTGACTCCAGAGCCGGGAGTGACCCGGCCAGGGGCCCCTATCCCTGCTTTGCCGTCTCAGCCTCAGGATGAGGGGGGGTGCACCCTGGAGGGCCTAGGAGACCCGTGACCACACCGGACCCCGCTCAGACAGTGGGTCCCACCAGCCACACGCTGGAATCGCCTGGTAACTTAGGGGAACAAATACCCTGCGCCTTGGCCTCCGGGTCAAGTGAATGAAAATTCCTGACAGCAGGGCCCAGGTTTCAGAATATTTTTAAAATCTCCCCGTGGGGAGCTGAGAGTCACTGGGTTACCCCAAGTCTTTCAAACAATTTGTCCAAGCAAAGATGGATATACTGACAGACGCTTAATCTGCTGCTGTATTAAGAAGCTTTGAACTCTTTTAACGTATGTCTGGGCATCCCTTCCCTTCCTCTCTGATAAAGATTAATGATTAAGGATGATTCAGAACACTAACAAAAAAGATCTCTTTGTGATACCGAGAAGGCCTCTTTGGCAGACTTTAAACCCAAGAACTTGGTCCCACCTTGGCTGAATCACAGCACGGTGAGGGGCCTCCGGGAGGTCTGCCACCCCCATGTGACCCTGACTGTCCAGTGCCCTCGGTAAGCCTGCCCCCAGCCTCACAACGAGAGCTGAAAGTCCACATCAGCCACGTACTGAGGAGGAGCAGGCAGTGTAGACACCCGGGACCAAGGCAGCCTGATATTCCAAAGAGAGTTTGAGTCTTAGAGCCCACAGACTGGGTTCAAATCCGACGCCGCCACCACCACTACCCAATTAAACCAGCTGCGCGAGCTTGAGCAAAGCAGTTAACCCCTCCACACCTCAGTTTTTCCATCTAGAGAATGGAGCTACCAGCACCAGCCATGTAAGGATTAAATACAAATGACATTTGTAAATAAAGATGATTAAGTCTGGCCCACAGGACATACTTCATCGATATCATTTCCAATTATGGTCTTTATTTTTCTTCCCAACCTTCTAGATCTTTCTCCTATTTCTTCTTGTCAAGACCCTCTTCCACTTTAGTCCTGTCCGGGCCATGTACCCCTAGTAAAAAGCCAATCTAGCTGGGCTGCTGTGGTGGGGTGGGGACAGGGTGTCTGGAGGGGTGAAGGTCGGGGAGCTATTGATTGATGGTTATGGGGGTTCAGTTTAAGCTAATTAAAAGGTCCTGGAGATAATGGTGGTGATGGCTGCACAACAGTGTGAATGTATTTAATGTCAGGGAACCATACACTTACAAATGGTTAAAAACGGTAAAATTTAGGTTATATATATTTTATTACAATTAAAAAAGAAACCTTAAAAGCCTGACTAATGCCTCCTCCCACCACCTGTTCCCAGCCTGCAGGGCTTTCCTTTCCCTGTCCTGGGGCCCGAGGCTCCCCCCTCTTACCCCGTGGGGAAGGACGCAGCACTGTCCTGCTGGCCGGGGGCATCCACGTGGCAGACAGCAAAGTGCTGGGTTATCTCCTGCATGTCCTCAGAGTTGAAGAGGGGGTTATAGCAGGTTTTGTCTGGAGAACAGGCACGGGAGAGAGAAGGGAAAGGAGTTAAGAGAGAATAAAGTCTGTATTCATTCTGCTGGCTTCATGCCCACACAGCAGGGGGAAGGAACTTTCAAGAAAGAATGGCTACATTTTCTTTCCCACTTTCCTCTGGAGATAAAAGGCAAGAATAAGTCACGGGGCAAGGGAGTGGGTGTGGAAGTGGAGACGGTCAGCAAACTCTCCTGCCTCTGCTGGTGGATGACATAAACTTCCAGGCAGCGCTGGGAGGGGATCGCATTCCAGCTCCTCCTTCCCCCAACAGTCGTGGCCGTGAGGGTCCTCATAAGAGGTGGGGTTGCCCCACTGACACTCTCTTTCTCTCTAGGTCTCCTAAGCCCTCACCTCAGGGATACTGGCCAGGGCACACGGGATTTTCAGACAAGGAGGACGACTCTTACGTGGGCTTGGATGAGCCTCCTAATTGCTGAGGCAAAGATGGCCAGCTGGTCACCAAAACACTTCCCTTTTCTTCCAGGACACACTTCTGGACTACATTTCCCAGCCTCCTTTGCAATCAGAGGCAGTCATGTGATCAGATTCTAGCCAATAGCATGTGAGGCTCCCCATTTCCTCATAACACCTGCCACCCAATCCTCTACGTTTCTCTCCTCTTTCTTTCGTGACTGCCAGGTGTGGAGGAGCCAACAGATGCCTCGGAGGCTCCAGGGGACGGTGGAGTCACAGCTAGAAAGGGCCTGGATCCCTGAATCACCACATGGAAGGTGTCCCACAGAATGTCCACTGAGTTGTTACTGGAGTGAGAAATAAACATATATCACGTTAAGCCACAGAGGCCTTGGGTCTGTTGTTACAGCACTCACTGTACTCTAACAATGGAGGAGTAACACCGCCAGATGCAATTCCATATCCTCATCAGAGTCAGAGGAATAAGGTGGTATATATCAAAGTACCTAGCATCGGATTTGGTACATAATGGTTACAAGGGGGCATATGGGGGGAAAAGAGAGAGAAAAGAGAAGTGAGAGTGAAGGAGAAAAATGGTTTTCAGTGACTGACATCATTCGCAGCCTCGAGGTATTAATAAGCTGTTGGAAAAACAATGTCATTCAGTCCATCTGTTAATCAAAAATCAAGCAAGCATCCAGCTCGCAATACGCACTGGACCGGGAAGGGCCATAAGTGCCTTCTGAATCATCACAGAAGCATTTCTGTTCTGTGTAACTGTAATACTAAGTAGATCTTCTTCCAGTCCCATTTGTGAAAAACCCACATTTGGGAACACTTCCTGGTAATCTTAAGAATTCGTGATCTAAACATCCATAGCAGCAGTATTCAGAATAGTCGAGAGGTGGGAAATCCAAATGCCCATTAAACGAGGATAGACAAATAAAACGCGGTGTATCCGTACAATGGAACATCTTTCAGCAAAAGAGGATAAAGTACTGATATATGGCACAATGCGGACGTACCTTGAAAACATTACGAAAGAAGCCAGTCACGAAAGACCACACGCTGTGTGATTCCATTGATAAAAAATGTCCAGAATGGGCAGATCTTAGAGACAGAAAGTAGACTAGTGGTGGCCCAGGGCTGGGGGGTATGGGAGATTGGGGGGCGATAGATGAGAGGACAGAACTTCTTTTCAGAATAATAAAAATGTTCTAAAATGGATTGTGCTGAAGGTTGCACAATCCTGTGAAAACGCTAAAAATCACCGTAGGCCTTCATTAAAGGCAGTCACTGTCACACAGACTGATGGTGGAGGACTCCTGAGTCCCCAGCATCTCCCAGCCCCCAGACAGTGCATTCCGGGCTCGTCCAGTCTGTGGCAAGAGTTCTCCCCAGAACAGCTCCAGGAAGTCCCGGCAAAGGAGGATGAGGCAGCCTCCCTGGCAGCCACCCTACTTAACTGTCCTTTCCTCCAGCCCCGGCAGACACCCGCTCACCCAGGACTCGCGGCTCCTCGGAACTTACGGTTCATGCCAATGTCGTGGTACGTGAGGATGACGGGTCGGTTCCCCTTGGGGGTCCCACACAGTGTGACGTGAATGGAGCCATGCAAAGTCTCGATGTCCTGCTCCTGGGGAGAAACAGACAGACAGACCTGTCACGTGGGACCCGCAGTCACGCTGTGGCTGGAATCACAGCCTGCAGACACCCAGCGCGCGTCTCACTGCGGTTGGAGGAAAGCTCCTAATTTGGTCGTGGGAGCACTGGGCTTCAGGTGGCAGCTCTCTCTGGCCAGAGAAGCCACTCTGAGAAGCAGAGACAAAAGGGGGAGGGGGACCAAGGAAGCACCCCGCCATCCGTTGAGGTCAATGGTTGCCAGTCTGAAGAACTCGGCTCAAAAATAAATACACCCCAACTTTCAGGTTCCACCTTGAGGGCAGGAAAACTCAGTATCCGCGCTTTGAACAAAACCCCTCTCCCTTCTCCGTCCCAGGCTGAGAGATGCTGGGGCTTCCAGGCATCCGCTCTGAAGACCCCGGAAGCATCTCCCAGGCGGCCGTCGTGCTTCTGTGAAATGGGAAGAATAATGGAACCTCACGGGGAAGGGTGAGTGCTTAGTGCCCAGGCCCATCCCCAGCACAGGGGCCCTCCTGGGCCACCTGCCTTATCCGCCCAACCAAATGAGTGCCCTGAATACAGAGGCCCCCATCTCCCCAGCCCTCTCTCTCTTCTTCTGAGTGCCTGTTCACTCCTGCCTATACAAACGCTGGAAAAATCCGCAAACGGTGGGGCGATGGTCCAGCCCCCAGGGGGGACCACAGATCATCTGCTGGGTGGAGCCCTGGCCCTGAAGCCACCGTGAGAACAATGGTTCACTGTGGGGACCGCATTCTCTATTGTCTCCTCAGCTGACCCACAAGGTGCCCTCTAAAAATAGGCCAGGCTGGGCAATGTCCCCACCAGCTTGGGGCATCAGGGTTCAAATCCAAGCTCTGCCTTCCCCAAGCCCTCTGAGCCCCCAGAGCCCCATCTGTAAGATGGGAGGGAGCTGACCACCCCGGGTTCCTCAGCAGAGGAGATAAGCCTGGTGAGGAATACAGCCCCCGGCGAGATGGGGCTGCTCGGGACACGGGTGCAGGGGGTTAATGATGCGCCTGAGCCCCACCTTGGTGGCAAGTGTGGGACGTCCAGCCCTGGCTGGCACCCAGGATGTGTCTAGCAGCCCCCAGGGGTGAGAATGGGTAACAGATGCTGACTGATCTCTTTGAAAGCCTTAAAATTATAAAGCCGTGGGACCAGAGCTAAATTTGTCCAACAAGGAAGAGGCTGCCTCTGTCCTGTTTATTATGACATCCTCAGGCCCTGGCACAGCTCAGGATCTGCTGGATAAAGACCTGACACTCGCATGATCATGGTAAACATAGCTTCTCTAGGGAGTCCATTGACCTATTTTGGATTCAGGGTCCACTCTGTCCCTTAACTGGCTGTGAGGGTGTCGGCAAGCTCTCTCCCCACAGAATTCCCAGGACTGGTGTGAAGTCTCCCAGGATTGGCACGAGCCCCACGGAGCACTAACGCTTCACCCCCACGAGGCACCACAGAAGTGCTGTGACCGTGGCCCACGGCCTCACACCACTGTAGACTTCAGCCTGTGCCTCAGAAGAGGCATCAGCTGTGGTTATCCTTATTTGGAAGGATAAAGAACCCAGTCTCAGAAGCTGGAAGTGGCCTGGTGTAGGTGTACAGGTGTGGCAAGGTCGCCGAGATGCTGGGATAAGATTCGCTAAGTGCCCACCAAGAGTCAGGTGAGCTGAGCGAACCCATTTTCCAGATGAAGAAACAGAGGTGACCCCCCACCCCCGCCAAGAGCACACAGCTTGCAGTGTGAACCAGGATTACAACCCACGTCTGCTGGGCCCTCATGCGGGTGTTGGCCCCCATCAGCCCTCCTCTGAGTTCTGTGTCCACCTGTCCACACGGAGAAGAGGGAAGGCAAGTGTGACCTTCCCCGTGCCTGACACCCACTCCTTAAGTCACCCGCGCACACGCACAAGGTCCTCAGCCAGCCCTGGGCCTCTCTCTCCACTGGCCCAAACTAAGAAGGCTGGGTCTGAGATTGGATGGAGGAATTAAAACTCTCACAGACACGTCCCTTTGTCCTCTGCAGTCCCTCTGCCCTTCTGTCTCCGTGGGGATGAATCACCCAGTGTCCTGGAGGGAGGAACCCACCCGTGTCCCCCCATGTTCTCCCAAAGAGAGGGCACCGAGGGACCCAGAACTGCATGGTCCACTCCCTGTGCTGATAGGGGAAAGCCTGTCTCAGGGCTCCTCAGGGGTCCCCCGTCTGGCTAGAACAGTGGCTGGAAAAACTCACAGAACCCGTCCACCACCCAGACCGCCATCCTCGGCTCTTCCAAGTTCAGAGCCAGATCTCAGAAGTCCGGGCTCACAGGGGTCTGATCCAGCCAGGGGCATGCAAGAAAGAGAAGGCCAGGCTGCCTGGATTTTCCTCTCACCTCCTCTGGAAGAGTCTAGAAAGCCACTCTCTCAGGGTGCAGAGGGGAGGGCAGTATGACGGCAATTATCATTGTATCTGGCCCTGCTCTGAGGATTTTACATCCGCTCTCCCGTTGGATCCACACAACAACCCCACTGGGTAACAACTGTCCGCATTTCAGATGAGGAGACTGAAGGGAATTTGCTCAGGGTCACACAGCTGGAGCAGTGCGGCAGGATCTGAACCCGAGGCCGTCCAAGTCCAAAGCCTGTGCTCTTTGCTGTCTCCGTTTTAACACTCTCTGCCAGGTGCCCCGTGAAGAAAGAAAACTTTTAATATGCAACGTGCACAGTGACTCTCTAAAGAGGGACGCAGGAAGTCAGGTCCCCATTGATGTGCTGTAGATTGCTTTTTATCTCCCCAGCATCTCCAAAACCCAGTAATCCACAGGGCAGGTGCTGGGATACGCTGGTACATAGAACAGAGAAATAACACCTGCTCCTCCCACACTCCCCAAATACACATCTGCCCCCAGACTGCAGGCATGTACAGCAGGCGTGTCTGACTTGGAACAGCCTCGGCACAAACGTCACTTCCTCGGGGTGGCCCTTCCTGCCACCCACTGTACACAGGACACATGGCTCTTGTCCTCTTCCTTGTAGCATTTACCACAATGGCACGTATCTGGCTCTTAGCCGTCTCCCCAGCCTGACTGCAGATTCCCAAGGAGAAAGGCTTGCTCTGCCCTGGAAAAGGTGCTTAGAGATTTACACAGGCTACACCACCTGTAAGCTGGTAAGTTGTGAAACGGCACCGATGCCTACTGTCTACACTGCCTGTAAGCTGGCAGGTGGTGAAAACAGAACCTACCATTAAGTGGTCCTCAAAGATTTCAGCTCTTCGGCTGCCAATTCTGGCTTGGGAGCTTTGTGAGCTATGGCAGACTATGTCGCGGGGCCTCCCAGACACTCGTTGTCCTCTTCTTTACGATAAAATTCCCAGCAATGTGCCTGATGAAATTCTCTCCTTCCGCATCTCCCTTGTAGCCAAGGATGGTCAGAAGATTCAGTTCGGGCCAATGAGATGTCAGCAGAATTTGCTGCAGCTTTGAGGAGAATTCTTTTAAAGACTCAAACTTGGCCTTTTAATTTTTCTTTTTCATCCTTCCACCTGCTTACTACCTGGAACATGGATGAGATGCCCAGGGATTCAGCAGCCATCTTATGATCACGAGGACAAAAGCTACACGCTCAGGGTGGCAGAGCAGGAAGCTGAAAGGAGTCTGAGACTGGGTGATAGTCACAGCCTGCTGTACTAGGCCTTCTGGGTCAGCGAAAATATCAACCATTTCCTTGTTTAGGGCACTGTTTGTTGGGTGATATTAATTATAACGATACACCCACCATGGGACCTTGGCCAAGTTACCAGACTTCTCTGAGAATTCCTCCCCTCAGCTGTAAACTGAGGTCAGTAACAAACCCTTCTGCTTGTGGAGATGCTCCCAAGACTTTTAGTAGGGACCGGAAAGTGTTTTGGAAATTGCAGCGTTTCCCTCCACGCTGGCTGTTACAGATGCCCACCCCAGAGACGATTACTGTGAAGCCACAGAGACTAGTCCCCAGGGTTTAAGGCAACTGGTTGGATGATCTAGGAGAGCTCTGAGACCAGCTGCTGCACCTCCCTCCATAATCCGCCTGCCCAGCAGGCCCTAGGGAGACGCTGAACGCTTTGGACTCTAAGAGGATGACACACTTACCCAGGCTCTAAGTCAGCTGGCGCGCTGGGCCGCCCCTCCCCTCAGTCTAGCAAGCCTTGGTCAAGCCACAGCCTGAGGGCAGAGGGCGCCCCCTGGGACAGCAGGCAAAGAAAGCTGATTTAGGCTCTTTAGACGTAGCATTAAGGCAAGGCTTGCTGAGGCAAGCAAGGCAAATCATGAGAACAGAGGCTCCAGAGAAAATGCCAGGGGCTTGCCCCACCACCAGCTTTATGTGAAATAACCCCTCCCCCCATCTTCCTGGTCCATCTCCTGTGCGCGCAGTTTGGGGGAGGGGAGGCCTGGCTGAGCCACTGGTCTTGTCCTGACCATTCAGTAAGGAGCACATGATTATGAGGACTGACAGGGGACGGTACGTGTGTGGAAGGAGCACAGTCGTATTTGCATAGAGGGGCAGCCGTCCCCTTACCGGGCAAACACCGTAAAGCCAGGTCTGGCCCCGGTGCTCTCAGGACAGACATTTCACAGATGGCAAAAGCCAGCCTCCAGGGCTGAAGTCTAGCACCCAAAGCTACACAGCTGCAGGTAACAGAGTTAAGATTCCGGACAGGCCCTTGGGCCTCTGAGTCCTGACAGCTGGCCCGCTGGGACACCAAGAAGAAAAGAAGATCTCAAAGAGGCCAAGCTCCCTCCGCCTCTCAGCTTTCTTTAATGCTGCCATCACATCGAGAAACAGAAGAGGTATAGCCAGGAAATGATCTGTAGCGGGGGAAAGGGTGCCAGCCTGGGAACACCGCGGGAAGCTGGAACCCACGTGAGGACGGCGATTCTCCAAGCAAGAAAGAATCAGGAGGAAAGTCTCTCTTGGATTAGGGAAAAGCAGAAGAGTGGAAGCAGGGCCATCCACGGAGCAGAGGGA